AATGAACTATTAATTGCTTAGAATCTGAGCTTAGTCCTCCACATGCTTCCAACAACCTTTCTGGGAGAAGGATCATGTGGTCCTCGGTCTCTCTGTCCGGATGTGAAATATAGCCAACCATTCCAGAAACCCGCCAGTGTTGTCTTCATTCTGTAGGGCATCCTCCCGACCACACTCCATTTCTGCCCATTATACATAGATAATACATATATCACATCAAATACAATTTAACATAAAAAGTAAATTCATGGTTGAGCCACATCATGCAGATTATATATCATCTAGAAAGCCTAATATACTAATGTTTATAACTCAAAATGACCCTAAGAAAATGTAAAATCTCATAAAAAAAAAAGAAAAAAAATTTCATCAGCAAAAAATGTACATTCGGACTCCGGATGCATTTTCCGGACGTTAAAATGCGTCTTAAAATGCGTCTAGAGTCCAATGGTGGGGCATCACGTGACAAGTGGACTCCACAAATTTTAATACTAGAGTCCAATGGTGGGGCATCACGTGACAAGTGGATTCCACAAATTTTAATACTGGCGATGCCCAGCCTATTAAAGTCCGGATGAAAATTTGTCTCCATAAATCATAAGCTATTTGCACCCCAAAAAATAAAAAAATGTTTAATCTACTCTTTCATAAGCTATTTGCCCCCCATAAATCATTTCATGAGGACATAAAAGCATAGAACTTCGGAAGAAAATTTGGTAAAAGTGGATGAAATGGAAATCAAGTTTGTATACTATTATCTGATAATAAATATGTTATTATGTTGATTTGTCTATTGACATGGAAATGGGACTGCACTGAGCTTAGAGACTTTTGGTAGATTTATGGGTCAGATCAAACAAAAATGTGAATTGTTATACTGCACTGATTGTGAGAAACTTTTTAAGCATAGAAATGACACAATAAAAAAGGATAACATATGACAAGTAAATTCATACCATGGTATTCAAGTGAAACCGGAATACTTCACCAACCAATATCATCCTTTTTGTCACAGGATGTTTCTCGGTTGTACCACCAACAACAATTATAGAGTCGTTGACAACCACCCATGAAAATTCTATATGAGAATTAGGCTTAAGCATTGGAGGTAGTTCCTTCCATTTCTTCCCATCATCCAGCATGTAAACATCACCATATACCACCTGTAAACAAAGAGTTGTGTGTGCAATAAGAAAAAAGATGTTAAAAACATATTGAGAGAGAATAATTTATTACAAATATTTGGTATGCCGCATTGACGCGAAAAAATACAAGCTCTGTGTTAATTTTGTCATGAGATTGTCGGTCAACTTTTTCGATTGATTTTGAAAAT